AGTCAGCCTATGATACTCTTACCTAATTCAATTACTCTAATATTTCTTTTACTTGTACTTCTTTTGACTTAAGCATTTTGCAGAAGTACCAATCTTTTAAATAATTAGTGTCAAAATTTTAAAAATAGAAAATGCTGTGGGTGGTTTGAGAAGAAAAAAAGTAATTTTATGGGGACTGATAAACAATAGTAATAGACAAGTAGTACATGATTGTTCCGTTGTTGCAGGGGAAATGATCAATTAGCGTTAACGCGTTTTTGTGTCGCATCCGAACTTCCTTTTCAGTGGATAACACAGAGGAGTAGGGTCAAATTCTGGTAGCGTCTAAGGGAATAATCTGCCTTTTATTTTAAACTAAGACCTCTGTTCTTTTGTGGTTTCTATTTTAATACTCGAATTGCTAAAAAAGATTATTGTAATATCTGCGGATTTTAATCCGTTTGAAGTAAATTAGAGCAAATATTGGTCGTTATAAGGTCAAACAAGGAAATTTGTGCTCAAATTGTAACACTGAGAAGTATTTTACAAGCTTCTATCAAAACTCAAATTGTGATAAAAAAAAAATAATTAGGTGTTGTTTGGATTGCTATTTTTACAAGTTTTTATAGAAAAATATACTGTAATAATTTAATGTATGTGAAATAAAAATATAATTAGAAAATATATTCACAGAAGACGTACAAATTTTTCTGCGGAAACTAGATAACTGGAGAGTCCTATGACATTATAGCTTATGGATTTGTCTAAGGTGCCTGATCGTAACTGGTTAGCACACTTGATTCTCCTTTTTGTGCAAATAGAACTTTCTTAATTAACATTTTGCTTTTCTAAAGAAAACTAACACTTGAATCCTCTTATAATCAGCTCCTACTGATTAATTTGCCTATTTGACATTGAGTATAAAATATTCACCTTATAGGTATCAAGATTTCTTTATTGGCCCAAAATAAATTATCATGGTAGAGGATCAAAATCTTTGGAGTTGGAAGGTTTGTGGTTAAGTTGGCGCCAATATATACTGCTGTACTTGACTCTATGTACATCACTTCACAAAAATTAACATAATTCATTAATACACAAAACTGCAACAATGCCAGAGCCATTCTTGTGAGAAATTTTTCTTAGGCAAAACCTTAAATTCAGTCTAATGGTAGATAAGATATAAGATTGAATAAGATCTATCCTCACTATTGATGCAACATTAATAATTGTGTGGATAGTTTAATTTTGTCAAATAATATTTCGTTTATATCAAAAATAGCTATTTGGATGAGAGTGTTTTTCAAAAACTAACTTTTTAAATACAATTTCAATTTCTAAACAGTACTCTAAAAGGTAATCTAAAAATTAGTTTAAATTTTTTTAAAATTTTAAAAATTATCTCAATATATATTCTAGAAACTCTTCTACTCTTAAATATTTCAAAATATTTTCTGAAAATATCCCAAAATATAATTTAAAAACTCTGCTACAACAAAATTTTTTAAAAATATCCCAAAAAACAGCTAATCCAAATAGTTTTCTATCCAACTAGAGTTGTTTTCTATACATTTTGAATCATTAAACAAACATGACAGTATCGCACTAGAGTTGTTTTCCATTGATTTTTCATTTTCTTCAGTACCATCATCTAACAACTTTTAACCTAAGAAAGTTAGAAAAAAATTTCTCGAAGAAGCAAGAATACAAAAGAATTACATCATGTAGATACTTTACCTTAAGCTTTAAGTCTTAGCTAAAAAAAAAAGAAAAAGGTTTAAGTCTCAATCCAATCCGCATGTGACGCCGCTTGCCCGTGGCCTGTAGGCCGTAGGCTATCAAATCAAGCTACACTATCTATTCATAGTATTCTTTTTCTTTAGGATAATTTCAGAAACTTCTCCTAAGGTTTCTAATAATTTCATTTAGCACTTTTAAATTTTCAAAAGTCTCACTTAGCTCCGCTCCTTTAAACTTTTGGGATAATATCAAAAATCTCTCCTGAAATTTCTCTTTATATCATATAACATCTTTAAGATTTTAAAAATATCACTTACCTCCTTTGCTTTTATTATATGTGTGACAAAATTTTGAAAAATCCTAAACTACTCTTTTGCTTGCTAAATAAAAACACTTCTAAACTACTTTGTTTACTCCAAGAAAATTATTACCTAAAAACCAATGGCCAGTAGCACCAACATGTTACAATGTGCTATAGTTCATGAAAATATAAATTTGAAAACCAAAAAGGAAATTTACGAAGAAATACACAAGCACCAATTCAATTTCATACTTTCAAAACTGATTCCTTAGGAACCTTATAATTTTTTTTTTTCCAAGTTCTTTTCAACCCATACTCAAACTTTTAAATTGTACTGATTATTAAAATAATCAACTTAAAATAAATAAAGAAATCATACCCTACATATCACAATCACAAAAAGTAAAAGATATACAAAATTCAATTTACTATAATTTACAAATAAAAAATCATAGAGTAATCCAAAAAAATAAGTAAGAAAGAATGTTGGAGAAGGGAGAAAAAAAAGAAAGTGACTTTTGTTCTTTTTTTTTTTAACCTCCATTTATTTGATAGTGAATTATGTATTAAGTGAGAGTTAATATAGTCTTTTTATAATTATTGAAGGAAGTAGGTGATGTTTTTAAAGCCTTAATAGTGCCAAGTGATATTAGAAAAAACCTCAAGGGAGGTTTCTAATACCATCCCTAAACTTTCTATAACATTTGAAACGCACTGCAAGATATAATATTGAAAAAACTCAGTTTGGAAGAGAGAATACAATTTCATTCCAAATTTGTCCTTTTCTTGTGATTTCTTAATTATCTTTACACATCAAATTTATCTCTTAATTTTTGTAAATTGATCAATGTAGTTCTTTAATGAAAGTTTAAAGTTGATAACAATATTAAAAGCCTCTTTAATAGGTTTTGCGTTATTGGTTCGAACAAAAATGCTAATTTACTTAAATTATGAATGATTTACAATACTCAAAAAATAACTTGTAATAATTTATAACCATGAAAATACCTTTTTGCACTAGAGTAAAAACAATACAAACAAGTTTATATAATTCTTAGCATATTGTATCTTTTTACTTTTCAAGCCATCGATTTGGAAAAAAATAGAAAATTAAAAAATATGTAAACGATTTATAAAACTTATTAAATTAACCCACAGCATTTTATAGTAAGTAAATATTATCTATTTAACTTGTAAAAACTTCAAATAAAACTTCCAAATATTAACTATTGATATTTAAAAAATGAACTATATTTTGTCCAATCAGAATAAACCTTCATACCTTTTGTTTTTGTTTTTCATTTGTTATAAATATACTTACCATTTTGGTAATAAAAAGTAAGACAACAAAAGGGAAATTTCGGAATGAGATTATATTTACTCTCCCAAAATGAATTTTTTAATATTGCATTTTAAAATTAGTTGTAAATGCTACAAAAAGTTTTAAGTAGCAAAGGCAAATGAAATATTTCAAAGTTTGAAAGTATCAAATGAAACTATTAGAAATCTCAAGGGAGGGGAGGTTTCTAAAATTATTGCTTTTCTTTATTATTTACTATAAACTATAATGGGTGCATTTGAATAGTATATTATAAAAAAATTATTTGATATAATAACATAACACTTTTGGTAATATGATATAAGTAAAATAAAATATAATTAAAAAATATGTTTATGATATAAGTTAAATAATGTTTAGAATTTTCTTTTTTTTTTACAAATTATGTTAACCAAATAGATCCGATCATAACTTATAGAGACAAGAAAAAGGGGAGAACAAAGGCTATGTTTGGATAGCAAATTTTTTCAAAAAAAAATTTCATTTGCATCATAAACATATTTTTCAATCTGTCTTTTTATATTTCTAATTATCTTTTTATTTCATATATATCATATCATAAAAGTGCTATAGTAATTATTCTAAATAATTATTTGGAATAATACTCTATCCAAAAAAGTATTTTCCGTTTTCACTACATAAATATGGAAGTATGAAGCTTCTTTGTACACTTCTTCATACAAGCAAGCATCAGTCATCACCATCAGCGAAGAATTCAGTTAAAACCGGTCCATTCCGTGGACTCTGGGTATTTTTATTTGTTTCCCCCTTTTCATAGACTTGGATCATGCAAAAAAAAAAAAAAATTTCTTATCCTTTCATTCTACATGATATTAAATGCCTTTTCTTGAACATTAAACTTGGAGGCCAATATGAACATTTGATCAGAATATAGCTAACCATTAGTCAACTTTACTTCAATTTTGCCATGCCATTTCTTAGAAGGAGTAATTGGTAACCAAGAAAGTTTTAAAATTTTATTTGAACGTAGGTCAAAAAATTTGATAACAAATCTCTTAACCTGAATTTTAATATCCATGACTTTCACAAATCATTTAATTACATTCTAATATTCAGACTTTCCTGAAAATTTTTTCCAATAAGAGCCTTGAAAGGGGATATTTATCTAGTCACTGGCGCTTAAATGTCTTTCACGCTTAAATGTCTTTTACATGCTTTTGGGAGGTGAAATGAGTTGAGTGGTTCGACCCTCCCACTTGCACTAAAAAAACTGCAAATTTGCTTCCGTGCGTTTGGTTCAGTTTAAAAGAAAATGGGCAACCAAAATGAAACCCAAATAATCTAGTGCTCAAACACGCTCAATTCTTCGAGCTCATCTTAGTCTCATCATGTAACACAATGGAAATCATCAAAAACAGTACTACAGCTCTTGCATTAGAAACTATAATCTTGTAGAGTTAATACAAAAACCTTTCATTAACCGAGTTTATGCGCAAGGGCTTAAAATTTGAGACAAAATTTTTTGAATCATTAAGTAGCCAAATGACCATAAATCTTTTCATTTGTCTTCACTGGCTCCCCTCACACAAAAATTCAACCAATTTAACAAAATTAGCAAAGAGTGCCTTAGTGCTAGACAAGGAAAAAGATTACATCGAGACTAATATGAAATACAAATAAAATGGCAAATTAAATTCTAAATAAACTTTTAATTAAACAAAGACCTTTATAGCCATACATATTAATTAATATACCACATCGCCAGAGCTAGCTAATACACCTTCCCCCACAAAGAGCTATTCATCATCACAAGTAATGATGGCAAAAAAAACAGAGTCCCATCCAAACACGCCTTAAATCCCCAAAATATGAACACATTGCAGGTGTGATTTACCCGTTTTACCCCTCCATTTCCTACACCTACATCCCTAGACAAAAGAAAGTTGAAAAAAAGATTCATTAAATTAGATTACATTAGTTCCAGGACTCGAGCGTTGGGAAGGAACAAAAAGATTCAAAATCAAACCCAGATGAGCCACCGTCGGCCACCACCGCCAGAGGAGACGGCTGAGCAATACTAACCGCCACTTGCGGCGGAACCACCAAAGCCGAAGCCGGACCCACTTGCTGTTGCTGCTGCTGGCTATTAGGAGGGTCCAGCAAAAAGGCTGAAGTGTCGAGAGTTGGCAAGCATCCGGCCTGAAGCCGGTTAACCGGAGGACGCTGTGGCTCCGGTTTAAGCACAGGGTTGACCGGCAGCTGGCAGTTCCCTCCAAACCTCACACCGGTCACCTGCTGAACCATCTGGCGGAAATTCGCTGGATCCGCGGTGATAAACGTCGTCGTACTACGTTTCGACGCCCGCGACTTCCTCTTCGTAATCTTCCCACCATTTACTCCTCCCACCCCGTTTCCAGCGCTCCGCCTCTTGGAAACGGCAGTTTCGTTCTCAGAACCGCCGGAAACGGTGGGGGTGTGGGCCGGCGTCGTTTCTGACTGGTAAAAAGGGTTCATCATCTCGCTGGAAACATTATCGGAATGGCTAGAGAGTGATTTTTGCAGCGCTCTTGTCAAGGTTTCGGTGTCTCTCGCAAAAGCATCGTTAAGCCACGAGTCCGCAAATGTCGGCCGAAAAGCCCACGGTTCCATTGCCACCAAATTGTCAGAAGAAGCCATAATTGTACAGTTTTTTCGAATTTTGCACGAAATTGTAACAAGTTAAAGATTCGATACAGTTGTTGTAGTCCACCGCCCTTAGAGCTACAGCATTTTGGTGATGATTTTGTACAATATTACTAAGACTAGTCAAAAAAAAGGTGAGTTGGGACGGATCAAATGGAAGGGATATTTTCTTTTTTCCGCTCGAGCAGGGAGAAAGAGAGAAGAAGAGAGGAAATAAGGAAGAAGGATGAGGGATAGGGGGGAGTTAAATAGGACGGTGATAAGGGGGTGGGTGTGGGGCAGGGATGAAGGAACCGCGTTCCTCGGGGCACGCGTCAGCAATTTTGTTCGGACACTAAACCGTGGTTTAGGGAATCAGGGTCTGTGCAACGGTGTCTGTTGGGCAGCACTCGGTAAGATTTATTTCAAGCGGGGGGTTTGGGCAACGACTGTCCATTAGGCACTACTCGATAAGATTTATTTCAAGCAGGGGTGTTTATCGATCAATAATTAAGAATTTGGTTTTAAAAAATTTCGGAATTCGAGAATAGATTTTTCGCGACTAATATCCAATTGTCGTCAAAACTTTAGGTCATGTTTGGATTGTTATTTTTAAGATTTTATGAAAATATATTGTAGTAATTTGATGTATGTGAGGTAAAAAGATAATTAAAAAATATGTTCAAAAAAATGTAGAAATTTTTTAGTAGAAAATCACAATCCAAACATAGTTGGATTTCGACCAAAAAATAGGTCCTTTGATTATATTTGTAATCTGAAATATTTTAATTTTTTTAAATTGTTGCACCACAATAATATTTTCTATGTTTTTTTCAAACAAAATTCAATCAATTTAGCTAGTAATACTTTACTAGAATACTAGTTAGTAGTCATATTAACTAATTATTCATTACTAATAAGTATTTAGTAATATGTATGTATATATAACTAATATATATACCATTATATTATAAAAGTTTCAAAAATTCGGCCAATAATTGATAGTTAAGTAATGTAATCTTGATATCTGTCCCTTGACTATTTTACCAAAAATTATAATTAGATATATTTTGCTTTTATGTAATTCCATTTTATCAAAATTCAAAATCCGTTCTAGATTGGGTTGGCCGGTTTTTGGGTTTTTTTTTTTGAAATTTGAACACCAATTTCAATTGTTTGTTTTTTAAAAAATAAATTATATATATATATATATATATATATATATATATATAATGGAGGGTAATACTCCATTCTACCACTCTAATAGTTTTGTTTCCTTTTTTCATCAGTTTCAAATTATAATTCATTTCCTTTCTAATTGAATAATATAAACTTTAAATTCCTCTAAAATACTCTTATTTAATATAATTTATTATAGTGAGTACAAGCTACCTTATTCAATAAGTGCTTTGATTCATTGCTGCAATGTTCCATTAGTATTGTTGTTGCATTTAATGTAAATGTATAATAATTAGTCATATTTATAATATTAATGTAAAGGTATTTTAGGAAAACGATAAACTAGATTTACTCTTCAACAAAGTTAATTAATTTTTCTCAAATTGTGTGAAAAAAACCAAAACTATCAAAATAGGATGAAAAGAGCTATTATTAATATTTATATATGAGTAAACTTTATTTACATTGACAGTGTATACACTATTACCGTTTGATTCATGACATGTGTGCAAATTTTGAATTTTAAATTTAAATTTTGTATAATTATTATTCATCTAACGTCATATACTATCAGTGTAGGAAATATTAATCTTTTACATATATATGATAAATTGATTGTAATTTAGGTCTGTTAATAAGTATCAATTAGACACCTCTTAAAAAATCCAGAGAAAAAAAAATTGAGGGTTGACTGTGGACCGAGGCCGTTGAGCGGAGTAGCAGAGTATTAAAGCGTTGGCACTTGGTAGTATTCTAGTAGTAGTAAGGGGTAAGGGAGTATATACGGGGCAGCGTATTTAATAGAGAGGGCATTAACTGCTGAGGTTTGACGGTCAAGCCGCGTCATCGGCTCGTGGTGGTCGTCGACGCGTAAACGCTAGTCACAGATCCCGAGCAGCTCTACTTTTTTCTTTTTTTTTTTGTATCGCTGCTTTCCTTTTCCTTTCTTGGTTCTTTTTTAATGTTACTTGTTTTTGCTTTTTGGCTTGTGTGTGCATGGTAGACGGATAATAATAGGAGATAATTTCAAAACCTCCCTTGAGGTTTCTAACAGTTTAACTTACCATCCCTTAATTTTTTAAAAAAACTTGTTTCCCTTATTTTTAACCTTTTATGACATTGTCAGCCCATTTCAAAATATATTATTTAAAAACTCATTTTTTTAATAGAGAAGATTTTTTATTCCAAAAGTGCCCTTTGTTGTGCTAATTTTTTTTTTCAAAATTGAGAGCATGTAATAAAAGGTTGAAAATAAAGAAAAACTATACAAATGTGCAATTTTAATGACACAATATAATAATAGGTATTTTAATGTACAAAAATTTTGGTTTTAAGAATGTATTCAAAGTGTTTTCAAGCCAAAAAGATTATTCCTTTATTAAGAAATGTTTTCGATCAATCTGAGGAGTTTTTAAAATTTTTAGAATTTTCAAAATTTCTTGTTTAGATTGATGGCCTAAAAAAAAGAAAAAGACAAATTTTTATGTTTGCAAACTCATTTGAGATTGTTTTCAATGACGAAATTTTTTTTTAGTTTAAAAGTGCTTATGGATGAATTTAAGGATTTATGAATTGTGTACAAGTTTTTTGAATTTTTTGTCTATATCATTGGCTTGAAGACTTGAAAATGATAAATTATACCCTATATATTTAGAAACTTATTTGAGGTATTTTCAAGTTGCAAGATGTTATTTTCTTCATTAAAATTCTTGGATAACTTTTATGGGTTTTCTGGAATATTTAGAATCTCAAAATTTTATTATATTTCTTGTGCAGACTAATGACAATAAAATTATTAATAGGGCTTTCAACCTTATTAATACCTTGTAATTCCTAATTAAAAAATCATATCGGCTAAGTCTTCAAAAGTTTAGGAATTAACTAAATTTGTTATGAAATCAAAATCATTTACAAGAAAAGAACAACATTAGAATGAAAATATACTCTCTATCAGCTAATGAGTTTTTTAATAATATACATTGAAACGGATTGGCAATGTTACAAAAATTTAAAAATAGAGAAGGCAAGTGATATTTTTCAAAGTTCATAATACTAAGTGACATTGTTACAAAGCTCAGGGGAGGTTTCTAAAATTATTCATAATAATAGTCCACCTCAATTAATTTTGAGCGTCATTTACAGTTTAGCTTACTTAAACTTCTTGATATAATGCCAAAAACAATATTATGATTAATTGTACAATTACGAGTCCGTGACCTACGTATAAATACATAAGATGAGAATAAGTATCACTTACGGAGTCAAAATATGCGCAACACAACTTTTGGAGAATAAATCCGAACTAGGCATGGCAATTTTTATCAATCTCTTTACATTTTTCAACGACCTGCTTATCAACAAATCAGCAATGAGACTAACGTGAGTTTGTCGATAAGAAAAAGGGTTAATTTCACATGCCTCCCCTAATTTTTTAAAAAATTGCAAAAAACTCCCCTCAAGTTCTAAAACTTACACCTACCTCCCCTATTTTCACTATTTAAGTTTCATTCTAGGTCCAAAAGGATATTTTTTTCTCAAAATTCCTATAATGCCCTTGAATTATAATTCACAACAAAAATGTAAAGGAAAAAATGGTTCACAATCTCTATTTCATTTATCTTTACTTGCTATCACTATTACTTATCTATCAACATCCAAGCACATTTAAATAAGCACAAATCTTTGTTTTGATGTTTCTCTTTTATCTAAAAATTTTTTATGCAAACCATTGTATGAACTATACTCAAAAGTTTACTTACAACCTCATATCAATATCAGATTTTACTTAATACACAACAATATTCATCAATATCCCTAAATTTCAATTCCATGACCGCCTCTTTTTTATTACAAAATAATCTAAACCATCACTACTAATATCAATATCCAATATACTCCATTGGCACAGAGTTCAAAATCAATGAAATTTTTTCTATCGTAATAACATTTAACATAATGCAATTATAAATATATACCAAGAACATTTTTTTCATGACAACTATAACAGTATAACCTATATTTAGTTCTTATCCCACTTCCTATCCTTAATTTTTATTTTTTATCACTGTCACTATCTTCATCTCCATTTAGTTTGATAATAAAATTAGCACTCAATTTGTCATTTGACAATTTCAGTTTACTAATGCCTATCAATAATTGGAAACAAAAATGGGCGCATGGAAACTATTTAATAATAATAAAAAATCGAGAGTTGGGAATATATACCAAGATATGTAAGTATTAGTGATTTGGTATGTATGGTGCTTTTATTAGTGGTGATAGTACACAATTGGTTGATAATAATAAATAAATGAGTTTGAAAGGAAAATAGATGTAAGAGAAAGAGAATAGATAGTTAAATGGAAAAAACTATAGTTTGAATTATTGATTGATAATAGATGATAGACCTTTAATATTTGATAAAGTTTTTCAATGAGTTGACAATTAATAAATGACATTGTTGTCTTTTTATCATACTTAGAGATGCCTCCGTAATTATGTAAATCTCAAGGGAACCGAGTGAAATTGTCGAAAATCTCAGGAGAGGTTTCTGAAATTATCCCTAAGAAAAATCAGTGAAACATTATGATTAGCTAAAACTACAGAAACATTGAACCCATGCTTGCTTAAAATTTAAAATTTGTGAGGTTTAAACAATTGGCATTCAAAACTACAAATAAAGAAATTTAAAAAGGTTGCATGATGAAAACCAAAATACATAGGTAGACCAAATTTAATGCAATTATAGACCATAAAGTATATACAAATAACATGAATTGTTTTGCATCTTCGTACACTAATTAACCATCACTACTTTTACATCATATCCATGTGGCCGTTGTATATACTATACATAATCAATAACTTCTAAGTGAAATAATAGACATGAATCGACATAAGCATCTTTCTTACTAATTAACCAACGCTGGTGCACGGTGGTTTTTTTTTTTAAATGGTAGTATCTCATAAGCCCTTTTTAAAGTTTCAAACAAAAAAACATTTACCCCTTGCCAACAAGATAGGGCTCAAAGTCAAACATCGACAATTCTAC